TATTCACCATTTACGCAATACTATCCTTACATTTTTCCTCCCCTTCCTCCTCCTCCTCCTCAATATTACACACCTCATCAAAATTACTCTCCTACACCACAAAATTATCAGTTCTCTTATTCATACCCTCCAACCACACAACCTTGTCTACCTAAGAATAATATTTGTCCCTTCTGCGGAGGATGCCACCATATATCTTTTTGCCCCGTTAAATCTCCATATGACCATCCTTACTGGGCAACTGCATACCCCACTTCGTCTTCCCCACGACTTACAGACACAAATGTTTCAGCCATTCCTACATCTTTGCCGAATAATGAGCCACATAATCAATTTAAGAAGACACTTTTAGAGATTCTGTCTGAGTACACAAGGATGACGAGGGAGAGCACTTCAGCCATAACGGAGAGCACTTCATCCATAATGCAGAGCACTTCTGCCATGATGAAGGATATAAATACCATAAGGAGCCATCTGGTAGAAGACCAATCCGAGGAGACCAATAGGGATGATCACGTGAGTGAGTCAGACAATGATGGTGGGAATATGATGGATGATACACTTCCTGATAATGTTGAAGACTCACCTATGTTTGAAGATGAAGAAGAAGATACTATTGTCAAGTTGTTTTTCGAAGAATACATGAAAAAGTTTGTAACGGCACAAGATGTAACGGATGAAGTCACAAATCACTGTGATTTCCATACAGAAACTCACCAGCCGTTTGATTTACCATTAGTCTCAACACCTGAGGAGGGCAAGGAGAAGATCAGTCATGATGATGGTGCTACTGAGGTAGGTTTGGGTATTGAAGATGAGTTGGGAAAAGATAATCACGAGCTCCAAGAGAGTGATAGCAAGGTAGATGATCTCCATGACGAAGAAGTCCCGCTCCACATACAAGATTACTCCTCTTACGTTAGTCCAGGTTTGGATTTCTTTGATTCACTCCTTGAGGATGATATTCCTTTTTGTCTAGAAAGTGACAACATCATCCAAGAAGACATTCATGAGAACGGTATTACCGAGAGTTGGATACTCACATGGGGAGTGATATAGAGTCCAGAGGAGATGCTGTGAATTTTCAATATATTTGTGAGGAAGAAAAATACTTTTCCATGCTGCAGTTCGAGTTTGATGTTGCTTCTGATCCTTGCTTCGAAATATCTTTTGAGCTTCCACTGATGCCTGGAGTAATCAAAGTTTTGACTCATGCCATATGTCCATTCAAGGAGGATGTGAGGTTGATCCTTCAGTTCTGTGCTGATACAGTTTTTGAAGACCATGTGATTCCTTCGTGGTTCCAAGAGTTTAAGGATCTGCGCCACCTAATGGCATTTGTTGAGAGGAAGCTGGAGAGATTGGTTATTAGTGCACCACTGCGGTCTTTGTTATTTGAGAGCTTATGAGGTATCGTCGGGCACACGACGTTAAAAATAGCGCTTCTCGGGAGGCAACCCGAGCTTGCTTCTGCATTTGTTGTTGTTGTGTTTGTTTTGTGTGTTTTGTTTTTGCAGCTCAGGGTCTTGCTTTGGGGATGATGTGCCGAGGACCACTTAGACTCAGTTTAGTTATGCCCCGACCAGCGCCCTAGGGAAGTTTCTGGGACTCTTATAATCGCCTATTTGTAATGTTGACTTGAGTTAAGATTGAGCACGCGTGACCCTTTCCTCTTTACCCCCTTGTGCATAGTGCATATTTAGTCATCGAGGGTGATGCCAAAGTTAAAGTGTGGGGGAGCAAATTGGGCATTCGGGCAGTAGTTGTTACATGTGATTTTTAGAGTTAGCATGCGCAGGTGTTAATTGTATATTCATATGAAATTCATGTCAAATTTTTGAAAATTTTTCTTTGAACTGTGTCTTTGTGAGCTGGCTAGCGTTTTGACTATGCTTTTAGAACATCTTTGAAGTGTTTAGGTTTAAATTGCTTGCACTATAATCTAGTTGTTGAGAGGATGAAGACACTAGTCACACATTGAATTAATTCATAAATCTTACATCCCACCTCAAAAAGTCCTTTAGGAGAAGCCACTTTGAGCCTGATCGTTTATTGTTTATCCAATTAATTGAGCTCCATAACCAAATGGCCTGTGTTGCTTACCCGTGAATATTTCTGACTTAGCCTTGGCATTTAGGGAACTAGGGGATTAATTTGTTAAGTTTAGGGAATTTGTGTAGGAGCCATTTTTGGCACTGTTCCTATGCCCCAAAGTGGGGTAAGAGCAGTCACTTTTTAGGAATTTGATACTTTCGAGAATTGCATTGTAGGCATGGATTCACATTAATAAATGAACTTTAATTGCTATTTTCCTTGGTGAGGCCGATATTAGAATGGGGTAATGTCTAGTAAGAATCCGAAAGTTGAAAAATTAATATAGCTAGACCTCTTACCTTGCGAAAAAAAGAATGGGAGCCCGGGTCAAAAAGCGTAAGTGTTTTGCACAATAAGATGAAACCTTGGGTATCTTTCGAAAGAAATGACGTTCTCGTGCCAACATGACAAGGAAAACTAAACTTATTTAATGAACTTGGAGGCTTTAGCAAAATTAGCTTTAGTCCTCCGCCTATTTCAAGTATACGTCAAAGCACCAATGTGTCGCGACGGTTCAGCTTAGTTGTACAGCATGCCTGCTCTTTGCATTGGTTTAGATGATTGTTCCTAAAATTGTGTCCTTCCGAGTTCCTTGATCCTAAGAATAGACCTGAAGTTCCTGAATGCATCGAGTCTTTGTTAGAATATTCCAATCTCTCAATAGAAAGGGACTATTTATTACCATTCACCATTCACCATCACCTTCACAAGTCCTTCTGATCAACAGCTAGTTTCTTTGCGTATGCTGTCATTACTTTAAGGATGTTGTGGATAATTTTGTCAATTAGTTTAGCTTGAGTACAAAGATGTAGTTTAGGGAAGAATTTTCTTGATTTAGATTGTCTGTTCTGTGAATATCCCTCTAGCTACGTGTGCATGCTAACTGTTTTAAATTCCGTGTGATGATTATCGTAAGTCTCGTTGTTCGATTTGCTTGAGGACAAGCAAAAGCTTAAGTGTGGGGGAATCTGATAAGTTCGTATTACAACACACATTTGATACGTGTTGGAGTCGGATTTTGATGGTTTTCATAGCTTTAAGGTGTTGCAAGTCTCAATTTTAGCTCAAGATGTAATTATCAGGCGTTGGGTCGAGTTTTGTTGCATTTGGTGTTGAATTGAAGAAGTTAGAGACCGGCATCGGTGCTTAAAGAGGCAATCGGGACGATTTTGGAAGCATTCGAGGAAGATTTGAGAGCTTTGGAGGTCACCGGGAGGTTCACGATGAAGATTTGAAGGAAAAAGAGCTCTAGGATTGGCTACGGGATCAAAAGAAGATGAATGGAGTTTGAAATCAGTGATCAGGATGACTTTCTATCAATCGTTCAAGCATATCTCTTTGTAGAAACATTCCATGTACACGATTCAAAGTCTATATAAAAGCTAAGTTCAATGGATACAAATCATATGAAGACACCTTTGCTAGAATCTGAGACAAAAAAGGTGAAAACAGACGATGAAGTGAGATGATCTCTGCTGCGATTTCAGAATGATACCTTCCACCGTTTTGATCATATCTCTTGATTGGATGATTCAAATCACATTCGGCAAATTGGGGTGGATAGAGGACTTCATTATCTACAACGTTCATGAAGGAAGAATTGCTAATTTCGGAAGTTAAGTAGGCACGATCATGCCCTCAAAGTCAGGCACGATCATGCGTGAAGAGAAAGCATCGCGGAGCTACTGCCAGGCAGGCACGATCGTGCCTGGCAGGCAGGCACACCGTGCCTGTCCAAAATGCGCGTTTTTGCTCCGGAGGCACAATCGCAGGCACGGCCGTGCCTGATCCTGTTTCGTCCTAATTCAGCCCAAATTGCCTTGTTTCCTATAAATAACACCCCCATAACCCTAATAAGGGGGGATGGAACTTATTTAGCAGCTTAAGGACGAATTTTGAGAGCTTTTCAAGCCTTGTTTTTCAATTCTTTGAGATTCTTTGTAAGTTCCTACTTTTTAATTAATGACAATTAATTCTATTCTTCCCAATTCCGTTGATTCTTCAATTATGAATTGCGCGTAGTTTTAATTAGGGATTTAGGATTGATGAAGGGGTTTATCATGATGTATGGCTAGTTTCTTGATGGTTTGATTACATGAATGTCATTTAATTTGTGTTTGAATAATTAAACTGTTATCTTTTGTAATCTGGAACCGCGGCTAGAATTACAATTGCACATAGAATAAATTAAGAGAGATCTAATTTATTCTAGGACACATTCACACACACTTAATCGTTCGCTAAGAGATTAGTAGCGATTAATGGGTCGTAAGCTTATTCGTCTTGGCAATAATTTAGGATCCTGTCGCATGAGAGATCAGCCTGGTCTCCTAAATTATTGTACTCTACGCCGCGAGAGCGGTAAGAACTTAGTATCAATTAAATTAAATTCATGTAATTAAGCCTGATCTTATAGAAATCTGATTACCCCGGAATCAATCCATGTTCCCTTCGTCGTTAATTAAGAAGAACCCAAATATTTACTTTTATTCGCTCATTCGCAATAGTTTAGTTTCAATTCAACCAATCAATCTCGCACGACACATTTATTTAATTTTATTTCTTTTTAATCGCTGAATTTAGTTAATCTTTAATTCCCTTTTGTCCGTCCCTGTGGAGACGATAATCGTTCTTTCACCAGTATTCTACAATCTTTTTAAGTGCGAGAAAACTCACATCACTGGTCGTGAGGAGGTGTGTTAAATGTCACACCGAAAATGTTTGAGTCAACGAAGTCCTATATTAAGATATCGGTTACTCCTCCTATCAATTCGACCTTTTAGGATGGATCACAGATCGTAACACGATTGCAAGGTTGCAACTCATCATACATATAAGATGTTGCGGTCAAGATTGGAACCTACGAGAGTGCAATATAATGGTGACAATGGACTTTTGAAAATGGCTACCAATAAACCATAGTAGATAAGTATGTAGCACAAAGAGCGTGCAAGAGCTAGAAATTATTGATATTGAGATTGATTTCATAACATCTGGCCGAGTCACTAATTCCTCTACTCGGTCACCCTAACATCTCTTTATTGTTCACTAGCTATAGCTAACTAAGAGATCAAAATAATTCACACATATAAACGAAATGTAAATTACAAAGTGGAGTGTAATTGTTGAGGAGTGACATATTTGAGGCTGAGATCAAACTCCTCAAAGGCTAACCACTCCCACATACATATATAGAAACAACAAATTAAACTCGAAGAACCACACATATATTACGGAGTATTAATTAATTAAGTAATGGTTCATATAGTACAACAACATTGAATTGGGGTTGCATTCCCGCCTCCAACCCCTCCAAGGCTCCAAGACATACATACACACATACATATGCTAATAAAAGAACACAAACAATAAAAAAGGGCCGGGCCAGGGCGGGCCGAGCCGGGCGGGCGTCATTATTTGGGAGGGTTTTTAATGAATGGATCAGAGAGCAGCGGATCCGGCTTTAAGCTTCTTTGTGATAGAAGCGATGTATTTGCCCTGGTGGAAGGCTTGGTCGAGCTCCAGCTGGCTTGGCTGCCGGGACCCGTCCCCCGCAAAAGTCCCCGAACCATAAGGGCTCCCGCCCTTCACCTGCTCCATCTCGAACATGCCCGCTCCAAACGTGTACCCTATCGGCACATATATCATCCCGTGGTGAACCAATTGAGTAATTGCTGTTAGCCTGCGTACAATCACAATTAATTAATACTATAATTATGTATGTTTTTCTAATTACTTCTTCGGCATATACATCGAAAGAAACGTCAGACCGAAGTTAGTTCTTCTTTATCTTTAATAATGCAAATTATTCTCTGAAATAAATTGAATGAGAGAATTGTAGGAACTAACGCGGTAGTTTCTTGGCCGCCGCCCTGGGAACCGGTGCTGTAGAAAAGGCCGGCGGGCTTGCCGGCTAAAGCCTGGGTCCTCCACAGACCGCCGGTGGCGTCCAGAAAGGCTTTGAACTGAGCAGCCATCATTCCGTATCTGGTCGGGAACCCAAAGATGAAACCATCGGCTTCCGGCAGGTCGTGGGGGGATATGATCGGAACGTCACTCTTTGGGGGCGCCCCCAGTTTTCCCAGTATCTCATCGGACAGGGTTTCTGGAACCTGTTCCAACCATTCAATATCCATAGTAATTAGGAATTCAAAAACTTTTCCACCCAAATTACAGTACTAAATTATTAGTGACACCGACCTGAAAGAGCTTGGCCTCTACGCCTTCAACGGACTCTGCTCCTTTCTTAATTTCATGCGCTAACTTCTCAACGTGTCCGTAAGTGGAGTAGTATCTGCCACATTTAAAAGCAGATCAAATAACGGACTAGATACACTTTTTCACAATTCTAACCAAGCATCTACTCTATCAAATTAGCTTAGATTAGACTAGAAGAATTCAATTCAATAAAAAAATATCCCAAGACTAGTATGTTTAGAGTAGCAAAGTAGGGAAATTTTGACCCATTATATATTAGGATCAACCAATAAAGATAAATTAGTAAAATAATAAACACTATCTTCCTCATAAATCTCAAATAATAATATTATCATCCCAAAAAGTCAACGCTTAACGATAATATATGGGCTTTGGGTATATACATACAAAGTTTGTATGAAAAAATATACTACTCGTAATAGGTACTTAAGCAATAGATCGATCGAGGATCACGGATCAAGAAATCAAGGTGGCTTATACGAGATGCCAGATAAATTGAAAGCAGAAAAACTTATGAGAATAGAAATATTAAAACATTCCCAACACAGGCCAGGAAAAAGAGAGCTAGATACATACACAATGTGGAGTTTGGTGGCCATGATAGGATCGCTAGTAGGAAGAAAGGTATGTAGTAATGGGTGAAGATTAGAGAGTTCGAAGAAGGCTCTGCTTATATAATGGTGGGATGAGTTGACCCAATCTGATCTTTCTCATCAAAATGGAGTATAAGAATTCAATTCATTACAGCTTGCTGCTCTACAAAAGTCACAACTAAATGTTTGACCTTCATAACGGATTACCCGGTGTCATGCTCATGTCACTATGACTTATGTTCTTTTTATTTTTTATCAAAAATGATGTTTGTACACACTCTTATACACACTTTTGTACACACTTATGTCTGTGAAAACTTTTTTTTTGTCTGTGAACATTGATTCACAGACAATGTTTTGCACAAACAAAATATTGTCTGTGAACATGATTCACAGACAAAAAAAAAGCTTCACAAACATGGTGTGTATAAGGTGTGTACAAGAGTGTGTACATCAAGAATGGTTGATTTTTTATACATGTACTTTTCACAAAAATGCTATTTGTACACACCAAATTGCACACGGCATTTTACACGCCAATCTAATTATACGTGCACATACAATTTGACCAGCACATAAAATGTTGTGTACACGAAGCATCATTGATTTTTATTGACGCTAACTTTTTAGTATGGTCTAATCTGATTTAATTGATTTGTTTAAATCTACTCTGATTTGATTTGAACTGGTTTGATTTAGTGTGATAAATGTAAATTCCATGTGTTTTATAATTAGGGAGAACTTGTATTTGCATTTCATTCGTGATACTTGACTTTACATTCTATTTTTAAAATCATTAGTGTAAGCACCACAATTCATTCTAAAATCATTTGATTTTGCACGCCACTCTTTCACAATTTTGCGCTGATGAGTAGCATACATTAATTATTTTAAAAACAGTCCACAAAGTAAAATATCACCCAAAATATAGCACGTAAAGTCAAATTATGATATGAATTATGATCTTGTCTGGTATGGTGTATGACCGAAATCAATCCAATTTTTTAAAAACAAAATTAGTCCAATTTAAAACACGGTAATAGCGCTAACTTTAATTTTGTGAAGGATAAATTATAAAATTGCGATTCATTTCGCCGGCTTTCAAATCATCAAGAACATAGTGCCATAAAGTCGTTATCGTTTGTTCCGGGGCAGATCCATCGATCACGCACATTTCAAGGTAATCCATAGCGCTTAAGCATCTAACGATCAAGATTAAGCAAAACCTTTTGTGTTACTCTTCTCATCTTGTGTACCTTGTAGGATTAGGACTCGGGGAAATATCAACTCTTGAATTAGTATATTCGTTATTAGAATTACTTTTAATAAGTGAGGTAATGGCGTGTAGACAGTCGTAGACCTGATCGTTTTTTTTATTTCTATTAATCTTGTTTTTGAAATTGGAGAACACATTGCCATACCTGTTTTTATGTTTTGAAAACAACAATGTTTTATCTTAGAATTTCATTTACGAATGTGTGAATTCAGGATGTTTTCTTTTGGATTTAAATTTGTTGATCTGATCTGGTCTAAACTAGTTTGGTCTAGTGTAGGGGTGGACCGGTTCCGGTTCGGGCCCGGAACCGGCCCGGATAACCACGGGTCCGGTCCGGGCCGGGCCTCAGTTCTTATAATTTTTTTTTGGCTTTTCCTAATTAACCCCCAACCCTCCCCCCTCACCCTCAAACCACCCCAAACCACCTCAAATGGCCCATCATACCCAGCCCAACCCAAAAACTTTAAAAAAAAAGAAAAAAAAGGAAAAAAAATAAATTGGCCCGGACCGGGCCCGAATCGGCCGGGCCGGTTCACGATTAAGGAGGCCCGGGCCCGAACCGCCTACCTCCCCGGGCCGGGTGGCCCGAACCGGGCACCAACCGGTTCAACGGGCCGGTCCGGGCCCGCACAGTAGCGGGCCGGTACGGTTCCGGGCCGGTTGGCCCGGCCTGAGTCCACTCCTAGGTACATGTCTGGCCTCTGATATTTTAAAAATAGAAAAATCCGTAAAAATTATACTTCATACAATTCTTTTTAAAACAATTCTTTTCCTAAATGCGTTGTTCCAAATTCTTAGTCTCATTTCCCATTTTGATGAAAGAAAAATGATTATGGATTATCACTTATACTCTTCAACTTAACATAGCTAGCCCTTCCTTTATTCCCCACCCTTAGATCATTTCTAATGGAGAGAGATTAGGAGTCCAAAATGTTAAATTGGGTAATTTTGAATTCCTAATTTGGTGTAATGGGGGTTAAAAGGGGATTAAAATTGGGAAAGAGTGTGGTCTGTGCTTGAAAGTGTGGACGATGTCATCCTTGCGTCATCTCTATGTCATTAAAACCCCAAATGTTTTAAACTCTTGTAGTATTTTTATTTGTTCTCCAACCTTTTCAAAAAAGAGATATTAAAATTCATGAATTTGTATAATCTTTCATATGAAACTAATATTACGTATATAAAATGAAAAAAAAATATATGAAGTTTTAACTGTTGGAGTTTTCTTGAGCACAAGAAAACGCAAAACGCAAATTTTTAATTCATGAAACCTCTATAACTCATGGAGTAGGGTTCAGATGGCACTGCTAGGACTACCGCTTCTGAGGTGTTGGGGCCCCAGTCTTCAGGTGAGGAAAGGGCGTTTGCTCATATGTCCCCTCCTAGGTGTGAATCCTCTGAGGATGAGGAGCCGATCCCGGAGAGGAGGAAGCGGCGGGAGGGGGCCTTTTCAGCAACAGAGGCCTCTACTGCAGGTGAGGTAGATCCTGCAAAGGTTGAAGTTGAGCCTGCAAAAGTTGAAGTTGAGCCTGCAAAGGCTGAGGTTGAGCCTGCAAAGGCTGAAGTAGATCCTGCTAAGGTTGATTTCTGTAACCATGTGCAATCTTGATGGAGTATATGGCCCGGGAACACCCGGCCCACAGACTCCTACTACACCAATGAAGGCCCAACAGGCCCAGGAGACCCAACAAGCCCAAATCACAGCGCCCAGAGTACCAAGCAGCCCACACTACGCGCCAGGGGTGCCTTCGGCCCCCTGGCCGAAGGCTCTAAACTCTCACAGAACGGGTTTCTCAAGCAAATTAAGAAACTGGGAGAAAACGGCGAAAACAGTAGTCCTCGGCACTATGAGCCCTCGGCACCAGGGTGCCATCGGTTGGAGGAGCCCTCGGCTACTGCTCTATAGCCGAAGGCATCTCACTCGACAAGATATCCGCCTCACATGCGTACAGATCACCGTACCCTGCACAGACGTCCCATCCAACAGCCGCATTAAATGCGGCCACATGCGGCTGCCAGCGCCAACCAGTTGAGGTGACCCCTCGGCCAATGAGCGCTTGACACGTGTCCCTGTCCGGCATTTATTGCTACTATAAATAGCACCCCATTTCCCCATTTGTAACCACGACATTCATACTGAATACACTCTCTCTCTACATTCACTTACTTGCTCTGACTTCTCTCTAAGTTATTCCCCGCAATAACCCTTCGGATATATACCCCCGGGTAGACTATCCATCAAATCTTTTGCTTCTCCTTCAGGTAATTACCTTTATTTCTGCATTAGCAACTTGGTTTTATGCCTCGGTCTGTGAGGCGTGATTATGCATGTTGTACCTTTTTGTCTGTTAACTGTTCTTTATTGCGAACTTGCAGGTGGTTCCAATATATTCAATCTCCTCGACCGTGCGCAGGGAGGTATGAGATTGAAAACTCCGCCTTCTGCCGGTGTTAAGTATGCAGAGCCTTTCCCGAACAGTTCGTCCTCATCCTCCTCTGAGAATTCCGAGGATGACGATGATGAAGATGGTGATGATGATGATGAGGGCACCCAACAAGGCAATGCTGTGGCGCAAGGGGATATTGCCGTGGTTGCCACTAATGTCACGACCAATGCAGAGAGTACTCCGGGGCCCAGTGGGGCTGCCTCGGTGCATGGGTCCGCAAGTGGGCGGAAGAAGCGCTCAGTGGCTAAAGGCAGTGGTCCGCCACACGGGTCCGCGAGTGGGCAGAAGAGGCGGAGATTGTAGCTGTCCTTCAGTGATGACCATGGCTTTTTATTTGAGAACATTGATGCCATGGACCTGTTGGCAAAGTTATGTTTGCCTTGCGTTGCTAATGAGTAGGGGTCATGGAGGAGATGGACACCTGGTGCGTTGCTAATGAGCTTTCTTCCAGCGCACTTAAGGTGAGTGTGCTTACATCTCTCGCATTTACTCCCTGCTGTCTTTTTTTTTTGTAACTCTGTTTCTCTTTTGTTATAGGCCGCCACTCTGGGTTATGAAATGGCCCTCAGAGTTGAGAATAAAAAATTAAAATCCAAAGAAATAAATTTTATCTTCACTACTAGGAACTGGTCTTCCTCACAAATATGGGAGATATCAAATGTGTGCTTATTCCACATTAACCACAATTTATTAGAAGCAGCCATATAGATATGGCCTTTTGGCCTAGATATTACAAAAAAAAAAGACAAAAGACAAAAATGTGACAACTTTTTCAAAATCCCAAAAATGTGACCTAATAACAATGCAGTGCAAAGTGACTCCATGCAAAGTGACTTCGTCGTCACAGTGACCCTCCGCCACAGTGACTGCCCCACCGGCCACAGTGACTTCCCCACCAGTCACACTGACTGCCCGCCACCGGTCACAGTGACTGCTCGCCACCATAGTCACTCCCCACCGGCCACAGTGACTACCTATCCCCGGCCACAGTGACACACCATCTCTGGTATCCCAACCCTATCCCTCCCATGCTCCTCACAACCCCCTTCAACCCGTCCCCAGCCTGCCATACCCTAGCGCCACCGCCGACCATCACCGCGGACTGCTGCTGCTGACCGCCGCCCAACCCCCAGTCACCTCCCCACCATGGTCGGCCACCGACCAACTAGATCTGCCCCCTCCAGCCACCCAATCTCTGCCGCACACCAACTCATACCACCCTAACCAGCCCCAATCCATTCCGCCCAGCCCAACCCCACCACCGCCCGACCCAAATTAACCGAATCAGATCTGGCCGTCTGCAGCAAAGTCAGATTGGCCAGTGCCTGGGGTGCGGCAGCCCCAGCCAGATCCCCGACCTTGAAACTCTAAAATCCCTAATCACCGTCATCTTCATTGACATAGTTGCAGAGGTCTTCGCCAGGGAGATGCCAATCCTAATCGCCGACTAAAGAAAGACAAGAAGATGGCAAGCGCGGCATGGATGGCGA